TCGCCGATCCCAACTGTTTCACCCCAAATAAAATTGATATGGTAATCGGAAGTGACCTAATCCCCCGAATTATCCTATAAGGGCTGCAGCAAAACATAAGCGGAAGTCTCTTAGCGCAGAACACGATATTTGGATGGATTCTGAGCGGCCCAATCCAGGAGAGGATCTCCACCTTTACCACCCAGGTAACCGAACCCCAGGATGAATCGTTAAACTCACTGCTGAAGAAGTTTTGGGAGCAGGAGGAAATAGCTGTCACTCAACACCGTTCAAGTGAAGAGGACTGCTGTGAGGAGCTGTATCGACGCACAACAATCCGGCAGCCAAACGGACGATACATGGTGAAACTACCCATTAAACCCGAATTCCCAGACACCATGGCTCTAGGCCACTCTCGACTAGCAGCGCAGCAGCAGTATATCAGCATCGAAAGGACTCTGGAGAAAAAACCTGGCCTCTGCAAAAAGTACTCAGAAGTTCTGGAAGAATACATCACCATGGGCCATATGGAGCCCACCTCATCCCAAGAAGTGGTCAAAGACGGTAAATACTTCTCCTTTTATTTACCGCACCATGCTGTCGTAAAGNATCAGCATCGAAAGGACTCTGGAGAAAAAACCTGGCCTCTGCAAAAGATACTCAGAAGTTCTGGAAGAATACATCACCATGGACCATATGGAGCCCACCTCATCCCAAGAAGTCATCAAAGACGGTAAATACTTCTCCTTTTATTTACCGCACCATGCTGTCATAAAACCCGACAGCAAAACAACAAAAGTACGCGTAGTCTTCAATGCTTCCAGAATATCCCACTCTGGAAACTCCCTCAATGACGTACTATACACTGGCCCAACCCTTTAAACTGAATTGATGCTTATCATTCTCCGATGGCGTCTCTAAAAGTTTGTTTTTAATGGCGACATCGAAAAGATGTATCGCCAAATTCTCGTCCACAAGGAAGATCAAGACTTCCAAAGAATCGTCTTTCGTAGGNCGTCTCTACAAGTTTGTTTTTAATGGCGACATCGAAAAGATGTATCGCCAAATTCTCGTCCACAAGGAAGATCAAGACTTCCAAAGAATCGTCTTTCGTAGGTCCCCAAATAAGCCCATAGAAGATTTTAGGCTGAAAACAGTCACCTTTGGCGTCAATTGCGCTCCCTATCTCGCGATCCGTACTCTTCATCAGTTAGCGCAGGATTGTCAAAACGAATTCCCGCTCGCCAGCAATATCCTCCTACGCGAAACATACGTGGACGATATTCTCTCAGGCGGGCATAATATACAGTCCACTATAAGCTCATTATCTCAAGTTAAAGACGCCCTAAAATCAGCAGGTTTTCCACTACGAAAAATCACCTCAAATCACCCAAAAATCCTGGAATCAGTCCCAGATTCCGAGGTCCTTGATGTTGATTTTCTCCAGTTTCAGGACACTAGCTCTACAAAAACGCTAGGCATAAAATGGAACGCACTAACGGACCCCTTCTCCTACACGTACGACCCTGTACCCGCTGCCAACGCAAGGACAAAACGGCAAATATTATCGGCGGTAGCAAAACTGTTTGACCCGGCAGGATGGCTAACGCCAGTAATGATTTCCGCAAAAATGCTCCTTCAGTAATTCTGGTTGGAAGGAACCGAATGGGACGAGCACGTAAAACCCGGCGCTTTCCAAAAATGGAACACTTTGCGCGAAAACCTCCCCGCGATTAATGAAATTGTTATTCCCCGCTGGGTGCAATTCTCCCCTACTCACCGGGTACAAGTTCATGGGTTTTCAGACGCCTCTGAAAAAGCTTATTGCGCCTGTGTCTACCTCAGAGTACAAATTGACGAAAACTCCTGGTCGTCACACATACTCGCAGCTAAAAGTAAGGTAGCCCCCCTGCAAACAGTCAGCCTCCGCAGACTTGAGCTCTGTGGAGCCGTCCTACTCTCCAAGCTGGTTAATCAACTTCACTCCGAACTAGATTTACCTACCCCTGGTCAGATTCTTCCATTGTTTTGGCGTGGTTAGAAAAACCGCCACACACTTGTAAAACTTATGTTGCCAATAGAATTTCGCTCATACTACAAAATGTGAGCA